AGACCATCGAAAATCAATGGGAAAAATGCATGTCACTTTTTACCGAGCACGCATTCTACAGGAGATTGAAAAGAAGTGCATTTTAAAGCCGACATCCTGCCTCGTCCGAACTGTTATAAGAGTATGCCTTAAGATAATCAGTGTCACAACCGCGACCAAGTAATCCTTCCTAATCGAAAACGCATTTCAGAATTTCAGCCAACATTTCACGAGATAGGTCACGCACTGTAAGCAGGTCGACAGTATTGTGTCCATCAGGCGCGGCAACATAAACACATCTTACGCAAAATTTTATTATAAGCCTCGAGAATATGCTGACAGGTGCAATTTATGGCACTTACCAGGTCGTCCAGGGATAAACCGTGTATGTGATAACTCAAGAAATGGTATGGGCTGCACAAGAAAATCCCTATAAAGCAAGGTTAACCAATGCGGCGCTCCCCAACGACAATTCTTAAAAATAAGACATAGTTGGACTCCCAAATTAATATTTGCTGGCACAGAAATGATTAGTTTTCACTGAAGATAAAAATTTCAGAAAATACCTACATTATGAGTCACTAAAATAAGACCACCCGTAGAGGTGCATAAGAAAGAAGGACACGCGGAGGAGGTAAAATAATGGGACCAGATAATGGATAGAATGACTATCCATTTGCATTTAGCACAGCAGAAAGTCATTCAGACAAGAAGATAGTCATGATGTCTATAGTAAATTGTTCAAAGTGGTTATTTAGCGTAAAATCAAATTCTTCTTGCATTGAAACTTTCTTATATCTAGTAACAATTTCTTTTGAGAAGTGCAACAATATTTTCGCTAGGATAAAGATCCGAACTGTTGGCAGGAATAAAAATCGATTGGAGGCCACATGCAGGGAGGCTGTCTGTTGTCCAAAGTGTTAGATTACAGTTACAGGCAGCATCGGATTCATACTTTTTAGAACGATGAACAAGAGCATTCTCGTGTAAAATTATGACATTCATTCGCTGTCGGTGAATGTCGTTGCAACCGATGATATCCTTCACGATATTAACGAACACCTTGTTGTTGATCTCCGTATTCGACCGCCAGACTGGCCGTTCTGCCAATTCGATAGTCTTTCAAACCAACAACTGTCGGCATATGTTGGACGTTGTCGTCGGCGGGGTACGCTCCTTTGGAAAGTCATCATATACGACCACCTGGGTCTACTTCGCAGAGTTTTCCAGAAATA